AATCCACGCAACCACAGGAAGAACATGCAGCCTCCAAATATATGCACGGGTTTGAAACCACGACCTCTCACATACCAGGCGAGGTAGTTAACATATCACGAATTAGGCCGACCACCACCACCACCGTTGGGGGTTTTCATGACAACCCAAATTGTAGCCGTGGATCTACACAAGCAATGTCGCCTATTGTTGATTCCTTCCACTAAGTTCTCTGGAGGTTTACGAGAACTGCACACGGCCTGCGAGGACTCGTCGCATGGCTTGTCGATTGTGCAGAATGCTGAACGAATGTAAGAAGCCTGAAAAGCCAACAGGGAAAAATCTGTACATAAGGTAGGCGCAACACTCAAAACTTTGCACAGATAGATTCAATAATATATTGGTGTACTGCCGTATTATGGCCATTTGGCAGCCAAAGCCTACAACACCTCATTCCCAGGCAGCCTGAGAACAAGCTTAACCATGCTTAGCTTTTGAAATAAGACAGGCTCAGCCACATTTAATGTGGTTTAATTATTTATAATGGACACTGTGAATCAGAATATGTATTTATACTGGAGGAATCAGGTGAGCTATAAAGCTCTTTTTCACATGTCCAGTCGTGGAAGGCCAGAACGTTACAATACAAAACACACAACAGTAGCGCAAAAAGCGTCAGAAATTAATGCAAAGCACAAATGCAACTAAACAATTTTCAATTTTGCCAGTTAAAGGCCACTGAGCAATTAGCGTCATTTTCAGAGGCGACCTGGCCACAAATTATAGCTCAATGATGTGGCTTATCATTTATAGAAGCAAAATAATCGAAATAATCCCAACGCATATTTCGAAATGGGGAGGGGAAAAAAACTGCGGAACCTGTGGAGAAAAAAATTCTCACGACCACAGGGGTGAGAACATGCAAACTCCAAATATACAGGCATCAAACACCCCCCCCCCCCCGACCTCCTGCGTATCAGGTGAGGAATATAACATCACGCCACCGTGGGTCCCTAAAGCAAACAAACAAATGAGTGCAAATTGCACAAGTACATCAATTCCAAAGCTTGGCAAAGTCAGTAAAAAACCGGCAAAAACTGTCCCAGACCATACCAAGGGGAATAATCAAAGTTACAAATCACATTGGCAACTGTATCCAGCACCAATCTTCTGCTTCAGAATGTTTTTTGAAGGAAGACTTATGATGTTAAGAGAGGAAACAAGGTTGTTGTTCCAAAAAGTTGGTGCTGCAACTACAAAGGCTTTGTCACCTATTCAAATTCTCGTTCTTTCGGAGAGTTAAAAGGCAATTTCGGTGGATGTCTTAGGTTTCTTGGGTAAAGCGAAGTGGAAAGTAGAAGGTTTGGAATGGCGATTCACTTGAACAGTTTTACACTTTGTAGCAACACACAGGGTGTGGGACCACGGCTGCCCAAACACGTGTTTGCCAATGAGTAAAATACTTTAAAGTGACTGGCACATCTGCCGCCATCATTGTCTCTTTAAATCACTGCAGCCAACTGAGAGGGCATTGCAGGCAAACCATGACGTCACTCGACAGGCAACGGTGATGCACCTCAAAGTCTGCTTTTTGGGTTATGTCTTCATTCAGGGTTGGATGCTCTAGGAACATTAAAGGAGTTTTCTTGTACAGTACAGGTATCCCTCGATTTACTAATGAGAGGGTTCTTTAAAAAAACGCCCATAAAACGAAATGTCGTGAATCGGAATGGCTTTTCCCATTGATTAAATTTAATAAAATAGGCATGTGTTTCAGACAGTCATTTTAACTTCACTCCCCACCTAAAATATACGCCTATATAACTTTTCACAATACAAAAATAATAAAATTACATAAATATTAAAACGATTGGGAACTCGCCAAAATATCTGCCTATTGGAATGACTGGAATGGTGATGTGGAGGCGTTACTGTTGCACTGTAGAGATGCCACGGTACTGTCGCGGATGGAAGACGTATCCTCCTGGGCGGTTCGTGTTTGATCTCATGGCGCGTACCGTGTGAAATTTCGTAAAAGCTGAGGTTTCGTATTCTTTGGGTCTTTCGGTAAAGTCACGTAGATAGGTTCAATTTAATAAAAAAATAAATCAAACAAAAAACTACGACGCTTTGATCACCACAAGCGATCGTCATCAGGAGGAAAACAAAAATAGGGGGAAAGCTGCTGAAGGCAGGCTGTTTTTAAAGGTTTAAAATGGGTGTAGCCCAAGGGTCGTAAAAGATGTGGGCGGGGCTAGTTATGTTAATGCGAGAAATTAGCATGTTAATGTAAGATCGTAGAGCCACCCCCACGTCGAGGTCGGCGCACGAAAGTGGCTGTGTTGGTGTGAGAAATCTATCCTGTTCATGTAAAATCGGACAGCCAAAGCCACGGGGAAAATAAGAAAAAAAACAGCGGAAGGTGGCAGGATGGCAACATCACAGCCAGTTAAGGCTTAAACTGGTTGATGACGTACTTCCAGTGATTGCTGAGTTTATACCCATCCTTTCGGTTGAAATTGTGTCTGTATATATGGATGGCTTCACGAACGAATCTTTGTTGATAGCCAGTGGGCTTACAAAGTACCTTCGTCTTAGAGAAATCAATTTCGTGTGAGCCAACCGCATTGAAACAATGATCAGCCACGGCCGACGTATTGGTCCTACCGTGTTTCAAATCTGCCTTATGCTCACGAACACGAAACGAGACATGTCGCTTAGTTTCCCCAATGTAACTACTGCTGCAGATACAGCTTAGTTTGTAGACACCAGGGTATTGCATATCAGGGATCCAATCCTTCACAGATGGGAGCAGATCACAAATTTTATGTATTGTGTTAAATCAAACCTGGATCTTGTGTTTGCTCATGATTTTGGAAATATTTTTGGTGACCCCTGCTATGTATGGCAAGGTGATGGTTTTGATTGGGTATCTCGGCCTCGCTGTGCGCTGCGTTGCACCACTATCCGAGTAGATAACTTCGCATTCAATAAACCTTCAGAGCCAGGGTGAACATCTGACTCCAAACGTATTTAATGAATTGAACGAGGAAAAACTGATGGAAAAGCACAGCATAAAATACAGCATCTGTTAATACTTGGAAATATCAATACAATTAATGAACACTACAGCATCATAACATTGTCTGAGATAACATAAAACTCAACAATAGATCCTGGATGGACCATGAACCTACATTAGTACTGAATAGCTATACAAGAGAATAAACTACTGTGTTAAATAAGGGCACATCGTGTAATCACCATACTGCAGCCTAAATGTACAGCGATGCACATAACACTGAACTGTGGATGAGATATTTCGTCATCCTTGCTCTCAAGATCGCAATAAGGTTATATGGGTACAAGTCTGACTCAACTTATTCAACTACAAGTGACATTCACAATAATGCAAGTGGCAGTCTTCGTTGTCACTATGCCTCATATTTATCATAACAACTTAACAGCATTATAAAGGCATTTACAGCATTATAACGGCCATCCTAACATTATAACAGCATTCCCAGTATTACAAGAACATAAACGAACTTACAGACAATGCTTCGTAAAGTCCCACAATGAACAGTTGCATATGTCTTCACTGAGACGCTATTTGCGCCTCCATTTTGTACTCTGTGTAATGGCTGATACCCTGCCGCATGGCTTAGAGAATCTTAAATCGTAACTTCCTAGTCACGTGACCAAACTCAACATCAATACAGGAAATTCCTGTGTACACACACCCCCCCACCTGCTGTGAGGCAGAACATTGGGTCCTCAGATGGTTCTTTCCCAACGGTTGGGGTGATAGCTTTATGGATTGTGTGGTCCAAATATCCATTCATCTTGAGAGCTTGGTGCATGTGTTTCAGTTCACTGGCTAGGTGATGATGGTCGGAGATACATCGAGTTCTATGGTGTAGAGTTTTGATGAGGGAATTCTTCTAGGATGGTGGTGGGAGTCAGGTTTTAGGTAGGCATCCATATGAGTTGCTTTCTTGTAGACAGTGTCCCATTGAGCCATCTGGCTTCTTTTCAATTCGAACATCCAAAAATGGTAGTTTGCCATCATTTTCCACCTCTATGGTGAATTTAATGGCTGGGTGTATGGAATTAATGTGGTTGAGGAATTGGTTCGATTTAATTAATTAAAAAAATATGCATAATTCGTCAATTGCATTCACGCAAAATGTTGTAAATTGAAGGATATCTGGAATTTTAAAGTTGGTTAACACCATGGCATTCTCACTATAGATAAAATAAATCTTCGCTATCCAGACCCCAGATCCTTAGCCACTGTCACGCAAAGGACCGTCAAGGGGAGAGATTGAGGCATCAAGTGACCTTAACCTTCTACAACGGATATAAATAAAACACATAAATAGTTTTGCAATTAAAGTCTCTGCTGAATTTGTTTCAAGCAATGGACTTGTTAAGACAAGCCACATTCCAGGGCAACAGTCGAGGCAAGGTGAAATTAAGTAAATAGGGTTCGCGAAGAACAACACAATGGAGTGTGTAGTGGCTTACGAGGGTTACGAAGCAATGAGAAACACAAGCTAAAGAGGCATCGTACACTAACTTAACACCATGGTAACATTTCGATTTAAAGCTTTCGTGACTGCAAGGATTCATCTTCTTTGGTTCTTTCGGTAAAGTCATGTAGAATGAGAATAAAATAATAAATTAATAAAATAAAATAACACAATAAAATTATCACGACGTTTCGGCCACAACACAAGTGGCCTTCATCAGGTGAAGGGACGAGACTGTCTGGAGGACAGCGCTGGAGCGAACACAGCCAAGCTCAGACCGCGACCTTTAAGCTGTGTGAGAAGAAACAGAGCGCCTTGACAAAGGAATTAGCATAAAAATTAGCATTCAATTGGCGGACTTAGCATGATGAACGGTGTAGAGGGGGTGAACATGTGCAGACCGGCGAGGAGGGGAGGGGGAGTTTACATATTGATGGTGTAAGAAGGGAATTTAAGCAGCTGTGAAAGTTTGGGATACCACTACTTGAAAAAATATACTGTACCATTGAAAATTAGTTTAATGTTTGGTTTGGATAATTTAGCATTGAAATAGCTGCGTGATTAGCTTGTGACTGGTCACAGTACCATGGTAACACCAGACTAACCACACCAACACTCCACTAACATCACAAACCACCACCGCAACAATGGCGATGCCCGTCAACATACCAGCGAAATCTGTTACTGCAGGAACACATCAGAAATCCGCCCTTCTTTCAGCTTCTGTATATCTCTCGACAAGGCCCATTCCAGATCCTTCAGGCTTGAGCGCGTTACGAGTTTCTGGTCGAACAGGTTGTACCTGGGCAGGAAGAAGTGAGAGAGGATGCCCGTCCTGGCAGCCTCCGCGAAATCTTCGAGGAGAATGATGAAGCACAGGAGGCGGTTCTTCAAATTCCAATGGCTGTCGTTGGGCCAGCCCGCGCAAGCGTGCAGCCACACCGTCTTGGCGTGGTAAGAGCACAGGTTGTCCTGCATGCTGGGAGTGCACTTTTTGAATGACTCCAACAGCCACTTGAGCAGCTTGAGGCATTCCTTCCTGTAGGCACGCATGGACACGCGCACACAATGCAATGAACCCTTTCCGTTCTGAGATGACTGCAAGTTGCAGGGTGGGTCTCATTCACTACTGAATCTTGGAGCATGCAAGTGGTTCAGTGTTAATTTTATTTCGAGAGGCATAACGCCAGTCTTTTTTAAGGCAGTGTACTCACCCCATAGAACTGTAGCGACACTACCGCAACCCTTTGATAGCTGGCACCAAACTGTGCTACACGCCCTTCTGCATGGCCTTGTGGGAGCCTTGGTACCGATAAAGTTATTTTATTTTATTTTTTATTCCGAACTGGAAGAAAAACTGATGACGTACGCATACGTAGGCACGCATGGACACGTACGTCACAGGAACAAGTTAGGCACAAGTTTGGATTTAGCATCATCATCAGCAGCAACAGCCATTTTCTATCCACTGCTGAGTGGGTTTCTGGCAACAGCGTATCTTAAACCATATCATATCCAAACTGGTCATGGCAGATACAATCACCTTTTCCCACAAATGGAAAATAAAAACATCCCACTTTTGCGACTGTGGAGCACCACAATAAACCATGGAAAACATTGAGAGTCGATTGGTCTCTGCAGGTCTATGGGTCACTGTCAACAGCCATGGGCCTTTGTGCAAACCTATGAGTCTTTGTGCATGTCTATGGGGCTCTGTATTATTTTCATGTCCCCTGTGAGAGCTCTCTGAGGGCGCAAGTGGTATTCACTCATTTTGCTCTGAAACCAGCAGCTGTATTCACAACTTAGACATCGATTTATAGTTGCTACTAAATTCTTGTCCATAGAGAAAGCGAGACTGTTGGATGAAGGCCTCCCCATGCCGTCGTCTGTATTTATAGAGCATGTACATTTCACAGCCCGCTTCTCAAGCCGATGTATAAAATAGTGGAGGCTTGTGCACTATGGGGGAAAAAGGAGGCATGTGCGTACTCTACGTATAAGGCATGTAGCGGTACATGATGGATACCCATTCCATGTCAAGGGTATATACAGATTACATATTTTAATAATAATAATAAAAACATTCTTACACTCACGATGGACAGATTCCATCATACCCTGAGCCACCTGGCCACGTCGGCTGTGACTTTTTGCTTTAATTGGTGGACAAACGATGAACGAGTGCGCACAGGTGAATTACCTGCAGCAATGCGCCTGTCCTTTCTCACAGCACGTGTTCTTGTTACCATGATTCAGCACAATATCTTTCTCCACCTCTGAGAAGGATATTCTCCAGGCTCTGTCCTCGATTACTCCTGCAAAACAAAGGTCCCCCATGTAGTCTTTAACAAGCTTTTGGGGCAAGTGCTTTCTAGCGGACACCCATGGCACGAGGGGATGGGTGGCCAGTACTTAACAGTTATAATGATGACAAATTTGAATGATCTCTGATAAAGAAACAGACAGGCGACTGTACCTTTTGCATTTCTGGGAGGCTTCTTTCCCACTAAATAAAAACTTTTGCTCGTGAATAACTTCGCCATGTGTTTCCGGCCAAGCCAAGAACTTGTATTGATGGTCTTCGCTTCTGGAGGCCAGCTTGAATTCTGCACCTGAGCACAAAAGAAAAAAGACAAAGACAAAAATTGCCATGCAGCCTACGCAAACATTGTGGGCATGTTCTGTTCAGGTTGGCATGGCTCACAAGGGGGTGCTCTTGTAAAAAAAAAAATACCCGGCCACATTTATCTTTCCCATGCTGATATTTAAACACGACACCAGATACTCATTTAATGCTGAGTCGTTGTAGGAGATGCCCAGAACCAGTGATATTAGCTGTGTACCTTAATGGCTGGAACCAAGTCCACACACACATCGTCTTCCGCCTCCATAGGCTTCAGCTGAATAGTTACAGCCGGGCATCCTTTCGACGCAGGCTTTAGTCTCGCATTGTACCCTGCATACACAAACAAGACAAAGATCCCCCGTGTAGCCTTAACACACTGTTGGCGCAAGTGCTGTTAGCGAGCACCTATGAAGGTCGGCACGGCACACGAGGCGATGGGTGGCCAGCACCACACCCTTTGTCTCCCTAGTGGCGATGTTTACACATCGCACCAGATACACACCGCACTCAGGGAGGCCCAGGACTGGTTCAGCAAATTGTCACTGGTGTTGGTCGTGAGTGGGAATCGAACTCGGGTCGCCGGGTTTTAAGCACAATGCGCTAACCAGTACACTGCTACTCCCCGCCCCGTGCAGGTGCATGCGCAGACACATTCACCACCGAAGTGGAGAGTGAACTGATTTTTATTAAGGTTACACAACTAGATCTAAACACTCATTGAGGGCTTCGCCTTGGTACACTCAGCCTAAAATGAGTGCTCAACTACACTCAGGTGCCATCAACTCGATATTACAATCACCAGTCATTATCTGCATTATCATGATCATCAACTCATCTACCTCTTCATTTTTCTTCTACTCGTGATTACTACCAACGACTTCTCATCTTAAACCTCCATCAACATCATCAGCTCATTACCATAAACCACCATTACCAAAAATCACCATGATTATAAACCATCGACAACTCACTCCCTGATGCTGTGTGTGAAAAACGTCTCTTTTTATGTGGAGGGACAGATATGGGAAGGTGATGTATTGTATGTTAATTTATTTTCTGACTTAAACGATAATTTTGCACTAAGTGTTATAAACATCCATCACCATCATCAATTCGTCATCATAAATCTCCATCAACATCGCCGCCATCGTTAATGTTATTCTCACCAAGCGTAGGCAGAAGTCTCTTGATGATGTTTTCCAGCACTTTGATGATTTTGGCTGGAGAGATGAAGTTCCCGACAGCAAATTTCTGGAGTGCAGAATTGCGTTTGGGCGTGACGAGATAGAAGGCTCCACCCAGGCCTGGCACTTCCTCCAGATTCACCCGCTCCACCAGCACCAGCATCACATCAAACTCATCCGGCTCACTGATCTGTGCAGACAACGATCATCATCATATGATATGACACTGATAGTGCAACAGCAATAAAATTGAGAAAAATACCAAAAAAGTGTAGATATATATTGTATTTTTTTAAATTGACACGTGGAGAACCCTGTTGCCCTGCAACGCAAATAAGAGACAGCTGTCATTTTCATACTCAAAATCCTGTTCTCGGCGCATCAATAGTAATTTGCTTAATTATGGAATAAAATGCCAAGATAATACGTATTGTGCGTTTTTAGATTATCTTGAATTTAAGGAATATTCTGGTGAAATAATTCCATAAATAGGAGCAAAATTTTAAAGTTAGCGCAATTTTAAATGAGCTGTCAGTCTTCTGTATTCATTACCCCCACCTCTTCGGTGTCACTATTCGATGTTGTCCAAAAATGTTCTACCATTCAATTCAATATTTATTTGTGACACAGAAAATCCCGTTTAGCCAGTTACCCAGTTTCTTTCGGTGGCAACGGCCCAACAGGCACTAACAATTGAGTTATTGTTGGAGTAGAGAGGAGCTTCGCTAATTTCCAGCCAGGAAACTCAAAGCAGACATTATTTTTAATAGTGATGTGATAATTACCTTCAGCTTCTCGTAGTAGCTGCCCGTGTTCAGGAGTTTGTCGACTGGAAGTTGACCGTCTTTTTTCACCGCATCCATTATGGTCCTGAGAATGTCATTTATGACCTTGCTCACTATTATCTGCTTGGATTTCTGGATCATCAGGAGTCTTAAGACATCCTTCAGAGTCGGTCTCTTTTTTGCTGTGGTATTATCATCAGAATCATCCATGTCATCGTCGTCAGTAGAATCACTTTCATCATCGTGTTCATGCAGAACGAATGGATTAACTCTGCCCCTGCATGCAGCATAAGCAGCACCATCACGTGGGATCTGGCCCCTCCGCCCTGTCGAAATCGCTCCTCGACGGGCCCTTCTCTCACTTGGCTTCCCAGACGGTGGACATTTCCGTGACACCCGTCCAATTGATTTTCTTTGGGGTAAGGCGACACTGCCATCATCATCATCATCACATTCTTCATCTCCATCATTATCGACTGTATCTCTACAGCTTGGGCTCCTCTTGCTGCGCGAGCCAAGCAGAGAGTTTGGACGAATGTTCGTGGTAGACGTCTCCGTTTGGACACCAACACCTTCAACCTTCACGTCTGGTCTCCTCGCCCTGGCTGCTGCTTGTCTGATTGGTCTGACCTGTGATGATGCTCCAACACAATCACCACTTACACCCGGTACACAGACCTTGGAGGAGCCACTCCTCGCCCTGGCTGCTGCTTGTCTGATCGGTCTGACCGTCTTCCCAGACAGTGGACATTTCCGTGACACCCGTCCAATTGATTTTCTTTGGGGTAAGGCTCCACTGCCATCATCACGATCATGATCATCATCACTTTCTTCATCTTCTTCATTATCGACTGTATCTCTACAGCTTGGGCTCCTCTTGCTGCGGGAGCCACGCAGAGAGTTTGGACGAACGTTTGTGGTAGACGTCTCCGTTTGGACACCAACACCTTCAACCTTCACGTCTGGTCTCCTCGCCCTGGCTGCTGCTTGTCTGATTGGTCTGACTGGTGATGATGCTCCAACACAATCACCACTTACACCCGGTACACAGACCTTGGAGGAGCCACTCCTCGCCCTGGCTGCTGCTTGTCTGATCGGTCTGACCGTCTTCCCAGACGGTGGACATTTCCGTGACACCCGTCCAATTGATTTTCTTTGGGGTAAGGCTCCACTGCCATCATCACGATCATGATCATCATCACTTTCTTCATCTCCTTCATTATCGACTGTATCTCTACAGCTTGGGCTCCTCTTGCTGCGGGAGCCACGCAGAGAGTTTGGACGAACGTTCGTGGTAGACGTCTCCGTTTGGACACCAACACCTTCAACCTTCACGTCTGGTCTCCTCGCCCTGGCTGCTGCTTGTCTGATTGGTCTGACCGGTGATGATGCTTCAACACAATCACCACTTACACCCGGTGCACAGACCTTGGAGGAGCCACTCCGATTTCCCCGTGCAGATGCCACGGGCTTCGTGCTGCCTATCGATACTGACTTCTTCACCAAGACTACTCGGGGCGTGTTAATTAATGCGGCATTTTTTGTAGGAACAACTCTTTTTTCACCCATCGATGCACTGGTGCTGATGGCTCTTCGTGGCGCTCTCGGCTTCTTAACAGTGTCTTCAGATCCGTGAGTGTCATCGAGTGAAACACTCTTTGTTATGCCCGTTGTTGTTCCTCTACGTGGCTTACAAGTGTCTCCAGATGCGTGAGTGTTGTTCTCGTCTTCTTTGTCATTGCTTTTCTCATATCGGGGAGATGCCAGATGAGTTCCTCTCTTCTCTGCCACCTTTTGGGAGCCATCTGCTCCAAGAGGGCCATCATCTCCACCAATGCTAGCTGCATCTGCTACCTTGGATGCACGGCGTTGCGATGGGACCACGGGGGCAGCCCCCTTGCTGGGGGTACTCCTTGGGGACCTCGATGGAGTCATGGTCCCACTTGAAGCTGAATTCTTCCATGTGTCCTTGGCAGACGGTAACGGTGCCATCGCCGAAACCACCTCCTCACCCTACTCGCACTGGCACCTGAAATGAAAATATGGCCTTTATTTACCCATGTGATAATCGTTCGAGTTGACCTCTTGAGATTCATGTCCATTATTTAATCTTGCAAGACCGCATTGACATTTATACTTTTTTCATTTGAATCTCATATTTAAACAGGCAACAGCCAATTGAGATTGTTGTCGTCTATATTTAAGCAGGCAACAGTTCATCGTTGGGATTCTCTTTTTTTTTTTTAAACTAGGTGAGCTCCTGTTGAGACTCATTACCTTGTGACTGACATGCTTTATTTAAGCACGTGAGAACCCTCCGAGATAATCTGATGTGATTGATGTCCTTTACTGTATAGCTACACTTGGGACTGGGAAAGAATAGCTGAATCTCGCACATGTGCCCCTACTGCATTAATGGCTAAGTAAACATAGTGGTCGTCCAGCAAACTTGCCCACACTTTGGGCGGAGTTCATGGTCCATTTCCCGTGACAGGCGTCAGGTTGAGAAGTTGCGCGACGAGGTGTTTGAGTGCATCGCTCAAACTAGTGTCGCTCGTGTCTATATTGGTGGGGCTGAGCCAGTGGTGGAAATTCCATATTCCTATGATGGGAATAATTCCATCCAAAGCTTCGCTGCATGTTGTTATCGCTACATGCTGATTTAAAATGAGCAAAAAGGTTCGGCTGGCTGAAAATGCTAAATAAATCAAGACACTGAAACGTAACCAACCCTCTAATGCAGTGTTTCCTAACCTTTCTAGACCCTCTAATCACTGACAAGATCACCCAAGAAAATCGTGGACTACCATGCACCAATAACATATTTTATAAAATATAGAAATTGTACTCTAAAAGTACGTTCTTGAATTGCAAACTATTAACTTGCTTTTTATTGACTAATCGACATAGACTAGCCTTTTGCCCGTTCTCGGACGGAAGCTGTAACATTTACGAAAAAATTGAGCAGAGTATAATTGTATCTTGTGTAATCTTGCACAAAAGAATGTCATCAAACACTCCACTGCATTTCACTCTAGCACCGTATTAATGGCAGTGAATCTTGCACGAAACGATGTCATAAAACACTTCACTGAATTTCACTGTAGTACTGTATTAATGGCCGTGATGCTTGTGTAGTAGTTGTGTTAATCGGCACTCCCCAAACTGTTAGCTCGTCAACAGGGGGCGGAAGCGCTATTGCGCCAGTGTTAATGTCTATGGCCCAAAAGGGGCCAACGACAATCCCTGGGAAACGGATCCTGGGACACATTCCCCGGACCCCGAGAGGGGGAGACCGGGGGATGATGTCACCTTCCAGAAAGTTCTGGAAGGGAGGCGTGGCTGGGGCAGAGCAAGCCACGAACCAGTATATAAGCCGGTCCTCTCAAGGGTCCGGCTGAGTCGTCCCCAAGCCGAAGACTGAAGAACTGGACTGAAGTTAGGACCCTGGACCCCAAGCTCCGTTGTCTTTCTAAGGGCCGGAGCTCAGTGAGGCCAGTGGTCAGGACCCGAAGACCCGGGCACGGTGGGGTCAGCATAGCCTCCCCTAGGGCCCCAGCCGGAGGACGGAAGGTTAACGGGGTTCCCAGTGATAGGGCCCGTGTAGTCCTGAGGCCATACCTCCCCAGGTATCGGGTAAAGGGGCTGTTATACCCTTTGTGTTCGGGATCTTGTATAAGAGCCAAATAAATATCGTGTTGTCTCACAAGAAGTTCTCCGTCAAATGTATACCCACTACACTTGCACAAACTACGTCATAAAACACCTCACTTCAAGTCAAAAGTAGCACTGTATTTAACTGACCCAATTAGCCTTTTGCCGTCCTAGGATGGAAGCTGTAATATTAAAGATGTATATTTACGTTTTCTTGCGTGATTGTAATTTTTTTTTAGGAATTGTTGCACGTAAATGTTTCTCAACTTAAAAAAATGAATCTCTTGTATTAATGGCAGTGATTCTTGCACAAAACTACGTCATAAAACACCTCACTTCACGTCACTATAGCACTGCATTTAACTCACCTTCAATTAGTTCAAAATCACTGCTCTGATACTTTATTTTCTTCCGCTTTCACTCGCTCTAAAATCTAGATGTTCAATATGGGAGGAAAAGATATGTGTCTTCTGAAAATCATTTTAGAACTGTATAGGTTTTTGTTTGCATATCAAGCCTACAAGGCACCATGACCTGTGCAGCAAAACAAGCCCACGTGGAAAGGGTCTAGTTAGAGATTGTATTTACACACGTTTATTGGACGTGCCATGTTGTCTGTTTCTACTCTTTAAAATCTTTGACGCTTAATATCTTCGGATCTACGAACGAGTTTACATTTTATACACAGACTCGTCGTCTCACGTGGCAATTCAAGATTTCATTAAAAAAACCCGATCCAGGTCCCGCTAGTCAACTTTTATTCAGCACATCACAATTCATTAGTTTCTGGGGTGAAAATAATTTTCTATTTTAGAGTGCAAATAAAAGTGTGTGCATTCAAAATCTTGTTTTTTACCTATTTTTTCTAATATGAAGAAACTTCGTATGGATCCCATTGAATGTTTTGCAAAATTTAGCTGGCTATTTATTTCATGTGCTATACAGTATAGAGACTTCCTTGCAAATCGACATACTCTGCATACAGGAATGGAAAATTTAAAAACATGAGGCCGTTTTCCAGTTCATCTTACACGCCGCTGAAACTTGTGCACATAAGTTTCGTTTGAATTAATTTTATTTATTACACATATGATGATCCCGTATATCCAGTTGCCGGACTCGGCAACTAAACATCATTGTTGCATGGAACGAGTAGAGGGGTCTTTAATATTTTAAGCCTAAAATAGCGGCGCTTCGGCGAACTGAAGAAAACACGTTAAGCGCCGCGTTACTATACAATTCCACGTACTGTGCCCTAGCGCTCGGCTGCGCGTTATAACGGGGCTTATTATGCGATATAACGATGCGAATTGCGCGTTGTGTGACGAGGGGAGGGGGGGTGAGAAATGTGACGTCACATCAACATGCGCAACTTTAAATAAATATAGACAACACGTTCTACTTGATTAAATATACTTTTAAATAAATGTTTTCTCGTACAACATCAGAGTGCAGCGCAACATTAAATACGCACTACATGACAATAGTTTAAAGCGATTTGAAGCATGTTTTATATTTCGGGGGGGGGGGCAGAGCTTTGTGACGTCATATTTGAGGGGGGTCTGACTTTTTGTGACGTGGGGGGGTCTAAAATCGTCCAAAATTGCGTGACGTCATTTATGGACGGCCCCTTATAACGGTGCGCATTGCGCGTCACACTCTCATGGAAAAAAAAAACGCGTTATTGAACGCACGTTCAGGTGAAAACGCGTTAACCGAGGGCTTACCGTAAATATTAAATAATTCTCGAGCAGGTGGTTTGGCGGGGGGCAACGAATAATTAAACAATTAAACCGTGCGCGGGGTTTACGTAATAATAAACACATGGCGTGAACGCTGTTAACAGTGGCTGATTATTTATGATGGTGACAGCTTTAATGACATCACAGCATTGCACGACTGCATTCGTTATAATTCAATCGTGCAACGTTTATGACAAGATCCAAACTTTACGTGAAAAAACATCGCTATTGTACTTAGCACAGTGAACGCAGGAAAAAAACCCACTTTTGGTGGTGACAATGTCCGCTATAGTACAATAAAACAGAAATACAGTATTGTACTTAAATTACCCATTGCCCTGGAGTTGGAGTACGTCCGCGAATTGGAAATTGGCGCCAAAGTTATTGTGAACACAACCTGGCAGGTGAGTTGCTGTTATTGTGCAAGTCCTCTCCACGTGTTCAAGTGCTATCCACGTGTTCAAGTTCTCTCCACGTGTTCAAGTCCTCTCCACGTGCTCAAGTTCTATCCACGTGTTCAAGTTCTCTCCACGTGTTCAAGGCCTCTACTCGTGTTCAAGTCCTCTCCACGTGTTCAAGTCCTCTCCACGTTTTCAAGTGCTCTCCACGTGTTCAAGTCCTCTACTCGCCGTGTCGACGATAGTCGAGTCGACCTCGGGGAGGCCCAGGACCGGTTCAGATAGATAACACTGTGTAAGGGGCCGTCCATAAATGACGTCACGCGATTTTGGACGATTTTTGACCCTCCCCGCCCCTTCGTCACACGGCGTCACAAGTCAGACCCCCCTCAAATATGACGTCACAAAGCTCTGCCCCCCCCCCAAAATATATATATAAAACATGCTTCAAATCGCTTTAAACTATTGTCATTGCAGTGCGTATTTAATGTGGCGCTGCACTCTGATGTTGTAGGACAAAACATTTCATAATATTCATAATAAATGTTTTTGGGTTAGATCGCGTTATTTATAAATGTTTCGTAACCCTCCACCACCCGACACGGCCAAACAGTAAAAAAATGTGTCACGTTTACAAACATTTATTAAAAAGTCTATTTTATTAAGTAGAACGTGTTGTCTATATTTATTTAAAGTTGCGCATTTTTACGTGACGTCACATTTCTCAAACCCCCCCCCCCCCCATCGTCACAAATGTCTGACTCCCCCCCCCCCCTAGGTGCGTGACGTCATTTATCATTTATGGACAGCCCCTTCCTACCCAGGAACAAAAATCGTGTTAGATTGCGTAATCCGTCACTGGTGCTGCCCGTGAGTGGGAATCGAACTCGGATCGCCAACGTTTGTAGCGCAACCCGCTGACTGTTACCTCCACCGCTTCCCACAAACTACACAACAATCACTGCACAGACAATATTAATAAGCAGACAAGACGCCACATATCCATCCGTCCCTCCACATAAGAAACACAAGTATGTTTTACACACACTCTTTGGTTCTATTGGGTAAAGTCACGTAGGTAAAAAAATTAAACAACAAAAATCACGTTTCGGCCACAACACAAGCGGCCTTCATCAGGTGAAGGGACGAGACTGTCTGGAGGACAGCACTGGAGTGAAAAAAGCCACGCTCAGATCACCACCTTTAAGCTGTGTGAGAAGAAACAAAGCGCCTTGACAAAGGAATTAGCATATAATTTAGCATTGAAATGGCTCATTGAAATAGCTAAGTTAAAGTATACACATCCGCAGAGGCACCCCTTGACAAAGGAATTAGCATAGAATTTAGCATTGAAATAGCTGAGTGATTAGCTTGTAACTGGTCACAGAAATAGCTATGTTAAAGTCAGAGCATATACATTCACCGAGGCACCTAGTACAAATCAAACAGGAGAATTTAGCGAAACACAACCACGCTCAGACCACGGACCTTTGTGTACGTGCCGGTGGACTTGCCGTTTGGCACGGGGGGGGGGGGGGAGTTTACCTATTGATGGTGTGAAAAGAGAATTTATAAGAGCTGCGAAAGTTTGGGGTACCACTACTTGAAAAATATAAAATATAGAGTGGCTCATTGAACCATCAGGTCTCTGTCTACAGGAAAGCTACCCATACGGATGCTTATCTGAAACCGGATTCCCACCACCATCCATCACAGAAGAATTATCTCATCAAGACTCTGTATCATAGAGCCCAATGCATATCCGACCAGGAACACATAGGCAGTGAACTCAAGCACGTACACCAAGCTCTTAAGGCTAATGGTTACTCTGACTATACAATCCGCAAAGCTATCACTCAAACCATGAAGAAGGACCCTCTTGAGGAGCCTTTCAAAACCATCACTTTACCCTACATTGCGGGGATCACAAAAAAGATCTCCAAAATCTTGAATAAACACAAGATCCAGGTCCGTTTCAACACATTACATAAAATCCGTGATCTGGTTCCGTCTGTAAAAGATGTGATTCCGGACATACAATACCCTGGTGTCTACAAACTAAGTTGCCTCTGTGGTAGTAGTTACATTGGAGAAACCAAACGCCATGCCTCAGACCGCATTCGTGAACACAAAAGCAGACCTTAAACACGGTAGGACCAACACCTCGGCCGTGGCAGATCATTGTTATAATTCAGTAGGCTCACATGACATTGACTTTTCAAAGACAGAGGTTCTTTGTAAGCCATCTGGCTACCATGAGAGATTCGTTCATGAGGCTATCCACATATACATGCACAGAGACAATTTCAACCGAGAAGATGGATTCTGGCTTAGCAATCATTGGAAAGATTGATAAACCATGTCAGGTCTTAATTGATTGTTCACGCTTACAGTGGCTTTCAGACAGCATACATTAAAAATATAAAATAAAAAAATTTCGTCTCCCCCCTCCTCTTTTCAGAACATAGATGGACTAGTCCGTCTAAATAAACTGCCAAATCGCTGCGTGTGGCGCTAACGTTTTTTTAAATAAATAAATAAATGCACCGTTTAAAAATAAATACATTTATGCAAACCGACACACCTGAAGACGACCGTTTGTGTTATGGTCGAAACGTCGTGAGAGTTTTTATTGTTTTATATATATTTTATTATTTTGTTGTTTCCCTTCAACGTGACTTTACCGAAAGAACTAAGAATATCAATCACATCTTTGGCCTGATTTCGTCATTCATGGTTTCATCATCATCATTCGGAGCCGAGCCTGCGTTTGAAAGCAGCGCTGGTGTGCCTTCCAGAATCCTCTGTCCTATTCTAACCGCACTAGCACACCTACACGGCGCACAGCGAATCGCGGCACGGCTGGTCTCCCCACACACTCACTGGGGCCCGCTCAGGTGTGAACCTCCTCTCACCTGCGACAGCGAGGCCCTCGCTCTTTGTTGACCGGAGTCCTCTCTGCTGGTTCGCACGCCTCTGGTTCAAAGTTCGTCCTTTTTTTATTTTTCGCTTCCCGTGACCACCCGCTCAGTTCCCGTTACACGCAGTCACAGATAACCACTTTTGACGGTCTAGACTCGAGAGGGAGAGAGCGCGGAAACACATCGCGTAGCGTGCTCTCTCGCCCAACTGAGTCTACGGGGGCGATTGGGAGCGAGGGTGTAACGTGAACCCAGGCACGCGTGGGCGGGTTTGGGTATGTCGTGGTCTGTGGCCACATTACGAACACCACCTCCGTCACACCCCCCCGACCCACCCCGCCATTGAGTCGTGTGTGGGTGGCTCTCATAATTGTTGGCTCAGTTCCCCATTGAACTTGGAACAACGTTGGGGTTAAGGTTGGGCCCAACCAGTGGTCCTTGAACTGGGGTGCACTCATCCCCTGGGGGTGCGAGATGCCCCTTTGTTGGAGGTTGCGAGGCATGGGCAGATTTTTTTTTAAGGTAAATCATCGATGCACAAATGAATCACGGGCACGTGAGTACAACTCCTTTGTTTAATTAAAACGATATAATTATTACAATTAGTTTTTTTTTTCGATTGATAACCAAAGGGGTGCAAGGCTACAGGTAAAAAAAAACACTTGGCCCAACAATTAGGACCACATGCTAACGGTGGCTCAACGTTGTTTGTTGTTGGAACTTGCTGTAAAATAGCTTCATGGGTCATGGGATTCCTCCAGTATAAAGATTCTGAATTCACCTGTCCGTACCACCTGAGGTTGCATACATTTAGACGTTATAATTTCTTCATGCGGCCAATAACTATTGAATTACGTGATAACCATATTAAATTAGTGGGTTATAAAATAATTAACTCTCATTAGCCATGTAAATAAATCGATAATACAAAGGTATTTGCCCCCTAATATGGTATGAATATCTAATCTGGCCCATAGACGTGCCTACCTGCTTGCACTAAGGGTCGTAGTTCGGCTCTTAAATTAAACAATGCATACTCTTTGGTTCTTTCGGTAAACTCACGTATTGTGATTTATTGTATTTTGTACCTACGTGACTTTACCGAAAGAACCAAAGAGTATGGATTCCTGCAGTCACGAAAGCTTCAAATGAAGATTAAACAATGCAATGCCGCTAATGGATTTATTTTATTTGATCTGAGACTTTGCTGGTGCTACCTGTCCATTGTACCGTGTACTGTACAAAAACTTTCTTGCTTGCACGTTGACGGCAAAAACCCAAACTGGCGTCATAACGCTGCTTTAAAAAATATTTTCAATGTTACCAGGTATGGCCCACTGGCTATCACAAATGATAGCTCAACGAAGTTGCTTATCATGTAGAAATGTATAGCAACCAAATACTCCAAACGCGTGATGTCGATTCTAAATGTGGAGGGGAAAACCCGGAGGATCCAGAGAAAAATCCACGGGGAGAGAGAGAGAGAGACATGCAAACTCCAAATATACAGGCATCAGGGTCGGGATTGAACCCACCACCTTCTGTATACCATGCGAGGTAGTTAACATATCTTCGTACAATAAAATACCCCTAAGAACAATACTTTATTTATGTCAAATCTCAATGGAATTCCCACTCGTGTGTAAAAATCTTTGCCAATTACTGTGTCTGTAACACAACGGTTAATGATTAAGGGTTGAGATGGGGCGGTGGTGCGATTAAGACGCCGACTGCTCACACCTGTCGTGAGTAGTCATCTGTGAATCGGTCCAGGTACAGCCCACACTGACCAAGCCTGACTATTTTAGTCGATCAGACTCAAATAATTACTGCATGAAATCCAGATTATAAATTAACTAAACATTCCAGAGTGTTGTCCACTCAACTAAGAATGACTAACGCAGCAAATTACTTTATTACCTGTATCTACGGAAACCAGTTATAACTTCATAAACTGTGGCAATTCTTGACTTAAAGCTTTCGTGACTGCAGGAATTCACATTCTTTGGGTCTTTCGGTAAAGTCACTTAAGATATGTTCAAATAAAATATTTTTTTTACAAAAAAATACGTTTCGTGTGTTGCGATTGAAACGTCGTAGTTTTGTTATTTTTTATTTTCTTTAAACCTATCTACGTGACTTTACCGAAAGACCCAAAGAATGTGGCAATTAAAGAGTGTTGCTAACATGAAACCGGTAATAAAACACACAAGACAGCTCATCCATCACCTGCGCATTTACCTTTATGGCGTTTGCACCTCCGATTAGCACTGTACGGTGCGAAATAACTTCAAAATACATGCGTGGTGTCCCACAGGTTAAATCATCGGTGTTGGTGTTGGTAAGACGAAGGTTAGGCCCAAATCATTAACCCTTTGCTTAACCACTAGCCCTGACAACTTCCTTGTGCTAAGTGATGCCACTGCAGTGCGTACATGAGTGACACGTGTTATGATAAGTGTAATGTACAACCCTTTGTAAAATGCACTGCTGAATGAAGCCCTCCACGTGCCAGGTCGGCCGTAGGGGAATACAGTATTACATCATAGTTTACACTGAGGGACAGAAAGAGGACAATAAGGATTCGGGAACATCTTCATCAACCATGATCATGACAAAGGCCTCTCCAAGCTGCCACCAATGTATGTACTGCATTGTGACATTATTTTGCAACGTACGCAGCCAACCGTGATAATTGGAGGTGCGGAGGAAGGACAACAAACTAAACACAAAAAGCAGTTCTAAAGACAAAGTTTTCATAAAAAATGTTTTTGGGTTAGATCGCGTCATTTAAAAATGTGTCGTAACCCTCCACCACCCAACACGGCCAATCAGCAAAAAAAGTGTCACGTTGACAAAAGACAAATAATTCACTACTTTAGCCCACCGGTGTGTTGAAGAGTGAATCCACAACATTTACAGTTTGAGTAGTACGACGTTTCGCTGGTAATTACATCCAGCATCATCGGGCAATTCGCCAGAATGGTAAAGCCCTCGCTTGCTCCCGGTCTTAAATAAAGCAGCAGGGTGACGTCATCATTTAGCCTACGTGTTAAACTGACAAAGTTTTCAATTTAGATGTAAAAGTGCAACGCTCCAGTGGCTTCCTAATATCGGAAGAGCGTTCCAGGCGGCCACAGAAACGCATCTGAAAGCGAGCAATGCAGTGATCGTCTTTGTTCGATGGCCAGTCAAAAGCCCTTTGCTGCGAGACTGATCAAAGTTCACGTGATGGTTTTTATACACCGTGACGAGATCAGCAAGGTACTGTGGTTCATTTGTGGCAAGCACATTGTGTGTAATGAGCGCGACCTCATAAAAGGTTGCGCTCATTACACAACATTGACAAAGATCCACAGTCCCCAAAAGCCTCTAGACTTTTGGGGGGGGGGGGGGGGGTGCAGTGCTGTTAGTAAGCGCTTATTAAGGCCGGCACGGCACACGAGGGGTGGGGGGGGGGGGCAGCACCATGCCGAGCCGCCTTTATCTCCCCAGTGCTGAAGTTTACACAACGCGCCAGCTCCTCTTTTAATGCCGAGTCGATCTGGGAGAGGACCAGAACCGATGTTGGCTGAGTTGAAATGGAACTCGGGTCGCTGGGTTTGAAGAGCAGTGCACAAGCATCCCAGCACCTGAACATTAACTGATTCATAGAGTACATAGCTTAAATTAAAAAAAACACATTGTTAAGAAAAGCAAGTGGACTTGGGCCCACTTCACAAGTGACAAAATAAAAAAAAGGAATCAATTCTTGAATTTTAGTCTCGATTATTACTCAAGCCAATTGATCTAAATCGTGGGGGGGCGTATGAATGTTACATACCTAGTCCAGAATAACTACCATGTCAAGAATGATTAAATGAAATCCACACGTTATGACTTAAACTGAAAATGACACTGATTGTCGTCGACTAAACTAAGACATTGGTCAATAAATTAGGATTATATTCCAGTATCTGCAGGAACCAGTCACTCCCAAATTTGTGTTAACTATGAAGCAACTCTGATATGTGGCGATTGGGGAAGTTTCCGATTTTCGAATACATGACAAAAACGAAAAAGCAGAGTCTAAATACTAAAATTCGGGTGATCTGAAAAATGTAACTTCAGATTGATCCGAAAGTACGTCATGGGAAATGACCTCTTTTCTCTTCATGCCCTGTCACTTGTCGCGTAAAGGAACGTTAAATCACACTTTGTAAAATTATAGGACATCCAAAAAAGAACGGAAATTGTCCATAAAAATCCTAAATGCAAAACGTGAAAATCCTAAACTCATCGCCCGTGTGTTCGTGTTTGTGTAGCATGTGTTATTATTGGTAAATACACCGTCGGCAGCATATGCAGCCCAAACTTCAGGTGCATCACTCCAAGCTTCGTCGTGATCTTCTCATATTTATTCCCATTTTCTGTCGGTGCCCACGTGTCTGATGGATGCAGTGATCGAACGCTTTCTTCTTATGGTTCTGGGCGTACCACCTCGTCATGGTGCCAGTCTGGCCTTAACAGGCGCTCGCTAACAGTGCTTGCCTCAACAGACTATGTCGGCTGTAAGGTGGGGTTGAATTGTGTGCATACGCAAAGTACCACCTGACAGCGCACAGATGCGTAATTTCTTGTAAATACACACGTGTACAGACAGTAGTCAACGTAGGTGATGCATAATGATGTTTCCGTGAAATACATGTGGTATAACCTGATACTTATCACACAGTGGCGTTGTTTGTCTCCGAGGAATTTCCTGTTAACAGACATAGTGAGCGGGTGTGTGGCTGGCAAGGAGAGGTGTGACTCAGGTTCGCGAAGAACCGGTTCTTATACCGCCGGATAACATCAGTGGCGAGTGATATCCCAACTGGTTTTGGGGTTCCTCCATCACCCACCAACCCCAGCACTAATTAGCGTGAAGTATGGTCAAACACCCCACACGACATCGGTAGGCCGTCATCCAGCAGTGGACGGACATAGGGATGTAATATATTATTAATTGCATCCGAGGGTAAAACATTGGCGTGAGTTTTATGGGGAATAACTGAAATATGAATACATATCATCTCGCGTAAACTTTCGTAATGTCTCACTCCTTAGCGTGGCTAAGAAGGTGCCAATCAATTTTCAGCATGTTCAGAATGCGGCTGCTAGGGTGTTAACCAGAACACCTTCACATCATATTACACCCCCGTTTTAGCCTACCTGCACTGGCTTCCAGGTTCACAAAGAATACGATTAAAATCCTATTGTTAACTTACAAAGCAGTAACACCATATTGCCCCAGCCTACATCATTGACATGCTGCACTCATATGTCCTTAAGATCTGGGGGTGCAGATCTTCTCTGCATTCCCAGGTCGACGTTTCGGTCTATGGGTGACCGAGATTTTTCCCGTGTAGCTCCCAGGCTATGGAACGCTCTTCCACAAGATATCAGAGGGATCTCTGAGTCTGTGGACATTTTTAAAATGCGCCTTCAAACCTAGTTATACGCTGCCACTTATTACATTTTTAGTTAATTTAGTAAATCATTTTTTTATGCATTTATATCATATTTATGCTGAGTGTCTGCTGCTGTGTCCTGTACAGCGCTTTGAGTTCCTTAACGATAAGCGCTATACTGTATAAATGTAATTCTTATTCATTATTAAAAGTTGGTGCAAAGTTTTGGCGGGAAAAGGCTGGTGAATTTCACAAAACATGTTCCTTGTATGCTTTTTAACGAGGTCCACATTCTTTATTTGAAAGTAATATATTACTGCAATTGGTAAAGCGAATAATGATGATGATAGCCAGTGTGGCTGAGGCCACGCAATCCAAACTATGGAGCATATGCTAAACCCATAGACATACATTAAATACAAGGCACAGCAGTGTGGACATGCAACCCAAACTACGGACCATTAAAGTAAATCACTGAAGTCTGCCCTTCATGAGCGGACAATTAATGACGAGCCACAATAGTGCGACTGTGGCCACGCAAGACAAACTATTGACCTTAAAGTGAACCCACAGAATCTGAAGAGATCCATGGAGACGCACAAAGAGCAATAGAAACCCACAGGTACATGAAAGACAAGGCACAATAGTACGACCGTGTTCATGCAACCCAAACTCTGCACCACTACAATCTGTGCTCTTTCAACGGAGAGGGGGGGGAGAAAAACTCCACTAACTCTCCTCTCTCCTGAAGCCTTGCAGTCTTGGCTAGAAGACCTCGAGACATTGGCTATTTAGCTAATGAAGAACACATATGCAATAATAGAGCAGTTTAGTACCGTAATGTAAATTTTTATTTAAAGCTTTCGTGACTGCAGGGATTCATATTCTTGATTCTTTCGGTAAAGTCACGTAGAAGGGGAACAATAAAACAAT